TGTTTTGAAATTTTGATTTTGCACTTGGGATGCCCGGCGGGACCCCACCCAACGGTCCTTCCTGGCAGGAGGGTGGCTGAGCGTGTGTCTGGGCATGGCATTCGTGCCCAGGCGCACAGAACATGAACTCAGGTTTGAGTACTGTCAACAGTGGCAAGTGAAAAGAGATTGCGGAGGGCATAACTCACACTGCAACATTTTTGACCGAATCGGACTGAAGTTACTTCTGGAACGGTATTCACCAGTTCGCAGTAGCCGATGCAGATCCCAGGGCTCGATCCCCAGTCCCCAACCTTACCTGTGTACAGTATCTGTGTCAACCCCTACAGTCTTCCCCCGAATACAACGTACGGTCATTATAGCTGAATTTAGACGGAATGATAGACCAAATTCAGCTATAATGACTGTACGTTGTATTCGGGGGAAGACTGTAGAGTTGAACCGGTGACCTGTGTATTTGGTAACAGATGGTAGGTTGTCGTAGGGTCCATAGGTAGTAGGGGTTCGATCTGTAGACCTGTGGAGTAGGAGTCTCAGTCAGGTCTAGAAGTCGTAGCTGTAGCTTTCTCGAAGGGTCAAGGTCGTAGCTGCTACAGTCCAGAAAGGTCAATGTCGTAGCTGCTACAGTATCGAAAGGCCAAGTTTACGGCCTTCCGGAAGGTCCGAGTAGTGGCCTTTCGAAGTTGCCTACGTTTAGGCTGAGGCAAGTGGGCAAGTGGTGAGGCAAGTGGGCAAGTGGTGGAGTCTACCCGTGCTGAATCAGCCGTCCCAGTCCTAGTCGGTCCTGGTCCAGTCAAGCAAGTACCGCATGGGACTGTGTGCACTACGGGCATGGGAAAGGGCCACTGGCAGACCAACGAGCTGCAGAAGTATAAATCAAGAGGCAGCGGCCAGCCATTCATGGCTTCCTGCGTGAGCCATGCGGAAGCGCTGTCATAGCGACTTGTGCGAGGTGGTCTGCAGTGAGCCCGAGGACGAAGCGGGCGAGAGAGAAGGAGCTTAGCCATAGCGACAGGGTAGTTGCGGCCATAGCCGCCATGGCTGTAGATAGTGTGCAGTCTGCAGTGTGTGTGTATGTGTACAGAGTATCGTGTGTGGGATATCCAGGGTGATCCTGTGTGTGCGAACAGAGAGAGTTGTACAGGCGCTGAGTCGCCATAACCATTTGAAGTGAACTTGTATCGGAACTGTGTACTTGGCTACCATATCTCTGAGTTTTGAGTGGGCGCTTGTCGCCAGTTTGCTGCGCACCTGTTCCTGTTTGCATGCATGAGAAGTGTGGATGAGATTGAGTCTGATTGCACGGCCAGATTCAGTCGAGAAAATTGTAGTGCGAGTAGTATGCTCGTGGTTTTGCTGACTGCTCGCCCCTCAGCAGACGGACCTCGTATGTGCAGTTTGTGGCCAGATACGGTATCATATGTCATTGAATGCATGTGTATGTCGAAGACCGGACTCAAACACACAACTCTCGGCTCGGCTGCCTGGCCTTCTATGATAACCCCCCCCCCCCCCCCCCCCCCCCCCCCCCCCCCCCCCCCCCCCCCCCCCCCCCCCCCCCCCCCCCCCCCCCCCCCCTCCCCCGCCTCCCTCTTCCCTCTTCCCTCCGCCCCTCCCCCCTCCCCACAGCCGCCCCCCCTCTCCCTGCCAGCCCTCCGCATTACCCTTTGCCCCTCCACCCTGCTTTTTTTACTCCTTTCGCAGTTCAACTGAACGTTGTCTCTGTGTGTGTGCGTGCGCACGTGCGCACATGTGTGTGTGTGTGTGTGTGAATTGCAGACAAACGCCTATCGTACTTTATCAAGACCCGAGCTGGTGGCGTCATTCATGGAAGGGCAAGAAGGCACTGCCAGAGGAGGTTCTGCCGGCGCTAAGGAAGAAGAGTCTGAGGAGAGACTGGGTAAGAGAACCCTGCTTACCTTCTTTTTTTTCCTTCTTCTTTTTTTTTCTTTTTCCTTCTTTTTTTTTCCTTTTTTTTTCCTTTTTTTTTTTTTTTTAAACCATCATGAGAACTCCTACAGTCCCTCGCTGAGTCTGTCATAAGAGCACTAAAGGGAACTAGGGTTTCTCTCGGATGGCTCCAATTCTATTGGTGTGGAGGTGCACCTCCGGGTCCAGCGTCCGGGCCCAGCATCCCATAAATATGGGAAAAACCAGATAAGGACCGGGAGCATTACCCAGCTTCCCTCGAAAACTGTCCTTGGTCTGCGGAGCTCTTCATCTTCTGAGTACCCTCCCTGGCAATCTACTAACTGAGACCCCTCCTGACCTTTTTTTTTTTTTGGACCATTTCTCTGCGGAGCTCTTCATCCTCTGCTGACCTTGGATGGTGAATGGCAATGACAATAGGAAGCAAGGCTTTATTTAAGGCGGAGCGAATCCAGAAACATAGCCTCAGTTTGGATTGTGCTCTGCAACTTGAGAACATGAGCCTCATTTCGGATTGTGCTCTGCAACTTGAGAACATGAGCCTCATTTCGGATTGTGCTCTGCAACTTGAGAACATGAAGTTAGAATCGCTAGTAATCGCGGATCAGCATGCCGCCGTGAATATGTACTCAAGCTCGACATTGAGAATTTTTGGACGCTAACGCGCCTGAGGGTAACCGCAACCTGACGGTTGCCTCACGTTTTTGAATCAATTGAGCAAAAAAGTCCCTGCAGCCCGAACGAATTTGGCACCTTGGCCTGGATTCCATTCAATATTATGAATCGAAGTACCCACTGGTATATATGCTAATTGTCACAATTTCCCAAAGCTTGCTCCAGGTTCCCAAAGCTATGCACATTATTCATGAACGCTCGATTTATTCACATCATCCTTGCGCAGTTGCCATGGTAATCTACCTCTTCTCTGTATTGTTCCAATTTCATGGATGTCCCCCAAGAACCTTACCTTGATGAGTTTTAAATTGACAACAACACGAGGTTTTTTTTTTTTTTTTTTTTTTTTTTTTTTTTTTTTTTTTTTTTTTTTTTTTTTTAATTCTGAATGCTCCAATCTATTGGTGGGGAGCAGGACCGGCTGGGAACCGGGCCCAGCGTCCCTTATATTTGGAATACATTGATGATTGATGAGAACAACTTGAGTTTGCTTATCCTCAGCACAGACTATACTTACAGGAGGACTTTTGTTTTCTACGCTCTGGACATGATTGCAGTCAGGTTCATGCAGCTCTGGCCATAATTGCGGTCATATACATTCTAAAAAGTCCTAGTGTTAGTAGGCCCTCAGTGCATATGTACTCTGGCCAAAAAACCACCGCGTCCCGCACAGTGGCGGAGCTTTTCGGTTATGGGAAATCGTCTCTCATAATAAACCAACGACGTTCATACATTACACACTTTCGGATGTGACAACACCCGACTCCCATTCTGCCCTTGATCCCTGTACTCGTCGTATGCCATATCTTTCTTTAAGGTTTTTTTTTTTAATTATTAAATTTGATTTATATTTTGGGAGAACACCTGACTCCCCTTCCGGGCCTTGATCCATGTAATCCTAGTATGCCATACCTTTTTATTTATTTATCTTATTCTATATAATATTATACATTTTTTGGGAGAACACGGGACTCCCATTCCGGGCCTTGATCCCTGTACTCGTCATACGTCATATCTTTTTTGATTATATGGTAGAGCACTAGACTCCATTCCGGCCTCGATGTGAGTACTTGTTGTACTCCATATCCTTTCTTCTTATTATTAAATTTGATTTATATCTTGGGAGACTGACACTGGAAACCAAAGCTACTACGTGGTCAAAAAAAAAAAAAAAAAAAGCTACGTGGTCTGATCTGAAGGAAGGGGGAGGAGGGGAACAGAGAGGGTGCAGTATTTCCAAGTGGGGAATGTTCGTCTGTGTCGGGAGCGGGAAAAAAAGAAGAATGTAGAGATATTCCTTTTCTTTTTTTTTGAACAGCCGGGAAGCGGGCCCGGCGTCCCTTATATGAAAGAGATACCGGGCAAAAGGGGTTGGGCTCCACTCTGCAGCGGTCCTCAGTCGCTTCCATTTCGTCTGATCTCACCCACATGACTGCAGTGAGTGTCCTCGAAGACAATCAGGATCGGACTATCTCCTTTTATCCTTATAGGACAGATACTGCAGCTAAGGATCTAACTCTAGATCCCAGGGATTGGTACTGGATTGACCCTCGACACCCTGACAGGATGCTCTCTCTCAACCAACATTCTGCTCGTATGGCCTATGTAAAACTCTTGCCTGACATTGATGTTGATTGGAGCGTCATGAATAAATGGCGACGATTTGGGATTCATCTCTCCCAAGGCAAACTCACTGCTTTCTGCCGCATTCTACCCACTCTAACAGTAGCAAAACATGCTGGTTTACTTTGGCTGATTATGCACGTTGCCACTCTTACTGCTGCATTTTTGTACCGTCGACGAAAAAAAGGCTCCCCTAGCCTTTTTGCACAGTTTGCTCCACAGGACATCTGGTGGAAGACCAACAACATCTATGGGTTACATGCAAATACGCTCGAGAAGTGTGGACAACACTTAAAAAAAAATGCCGCTCTCCTCCCTCATCATCATGGGGACCTTTGGTCCGAGGATGGTATTCTTTGGGGTACTGTACTACTCGCTTTTACAAAACCTGAATCTTATGTATACGAAACCATCAGGGCAACAGTGCTGCGGCATTTATGGCGCCACCGTAATGCTGTGGTCAGAAATGGCGAGCCTCCTTCGGTTCAGCAAGTACTTCATCGAGTGAAGACCGACCTTTGGCACATCATCGGCTTGGATTGGGGCAAAAAGATTGGCCAAAGACGAAACTTGCGTGCTGGGGTCAAGTGGGTTCACTGTCGTTGGGCCTGCGATCCCTCTTTGGCATCCATTGATGCCTGCACTGGAGATTTCCAATTCGGCTCTTTTCTACAGTAGACCAACTCTTTTGCTTCTTTTCCTGATCCTTAAAAAAAAAAAAAAAAAAAAAAAAAAAAAACTATTGCTAGATTAGGAAAGGTAATTCTTCTGTG